TGTGTGTGTGTGTGTGTGTGTGTGTGTGTGTGTGTGTGTGTGTGTGTATGCCCGTGCCTGCATACATGCATGCGTGTGTGTTATCAGTGGTTAGTGCACAGGGGCTCCAGGCCAAAGACAGGACGGGCTCCAGCGATCCGTACGTCACCATCCAGGTGGGGAAGACCAAGAAGAGGACAAAGACCATCTATGGCAACCTGAACCCGGTCTGGGAGGAGAAGTTCGACTTGTGAGTGCAGCTTGCTGTTTTCCTTCTGGCTGTGTAGTTCTCAGACGTCAAACAACATGCATCAAAAAGCCCACTCCAAACCCACGCAGGTGGTTCAGCGTGGCTTAGCTTTGCCTTGAAGCTGTCAGGATCCTGAGTCTCGTGCTGCACCTGATGACACCACTCTGTGTCTATAAAACGTGGAGATGCCTGTGAGAGGCAGCAAGAGGCATCAAACTAAACTAAAATGGCTTCACGTTTTGTTTGCCTTTCAAATGCAAGGTCAAGCATTCCTTGAAAGAATGCATATCTACTGCCAGCTTCTATACCAGTTTGAGACAGGCTACATTCTCACTGCTGGCGCAAGAGGCCCATATCCTACTTGCAGCCCTTATTTGACCCATGTTGGCTTTTTTAAACTTGGTCTGAATGTGACAAAGCCCAGCCAGGTCCATATGTACATGTGGTCCTAAATCAGATCCATCTCAGGTGTTTGACAGGTCTCATTTCATCCAACTCTTACATCTGTGAGGTAGGAGGATGTGAATCGATCCAAATATTCATACTGTAGTAGATTTTTACTGCATCTATGCTTTAATCATTAAATAATTTGACACCTTGATTCTGAACTGACAGCAAAGTCAGGGTTTATTGTAGAACACTGAATCTCTGTACAGAACAAGACAGAACGAAAGACCCCCTGATGGGACATTTTCTGACCTTATTTATACCCTTCCATGTGCGTCAGAGTCCTTGTACAAGCACACACACTTACGCTGTTTCTGTTGTGGCAGCTCGGCTACTAACAGGAACTCACAGGTTTGAGCACATTACTCCGGTTCTGTCCTCTCTTCACTGGCTTCCTGTGCGTGTCAGAGTTGGTTTTAAAATTCTCCTGCTGACATTCAAGTGTGTTAATGGCCTTGCACCCTCATACCTCTCCGACCTTCTTCATCCTTATGCTCCTTCTCGGGCCTTGAGATCATCAGACCAGATGCTTTTGGCCGTACCAAAAACCAGCTGAAGCTCAGAGGAGATCGAGTGTTTTCAGTCGTGGGCCCTAAACTCTGGAACAATCTGCCCATCAACATTCGACAGGCCACCTCAGTCTCTATTTTTAAATCTCTCCTAAAAACACATCTGTACTCACTGACACATCTGTACTCACTGACACATCTGTA